TCATGATTACATCTGGAGATGATACAGTCAGCTGATTCCTTGCTCAAGGTCATTTTTGCGTTCGAATGTCGTTCCGGTTTCGGCTAGTATTTTTTAGAGCCACCGTTCCATATACACTTGTCATCTCAAGTCTTTCTACCTTGATTCTGTTCGTCCGTACTTGCACGTTAAGCAGAGTACAGCTAAGGTCATAGAGCGGTGAGGAAGTTGTGTAAGAGCGTTTATAATTGAGGTCTACCCTAAGTCAGAATAACTCTTACAAGTGGTGAGCCCATGTTTTCATCGTTTGCCTACATAGTAGCTTGACGTGTTTATAGTTCTCTTTCATATTGACTATTTTGTTTATTTTTCACGTAGTTATAAATTTTTACTCGTCTTTTTTTCGCGTGTATTTGTTGTATCACTCCGTTAGTATATCGCCCTGTCCGCATAATGGCCGACAACAGTGCTTCACAGATGGCTACAACTTTCCAACTCCCAACCTTCTGGACACATCGTCCCGTTGCAGGGTTCGGCCACATAGAATTTTTGTTCGCCCTCAGAAATATACACACAAGAAACGTAGGTTAACCTGGTAATTGTGAATCTTCCTGAGAATATCATGGAGGAGGTGTCTGACGTCCTCGAGCATCTGTCCTCCGACCTGTAAGACCGGCTCAATCAGGCTCTAATTAAACGCGCTGCACTCACTGATCAACAGAATGTTCAGGAACTTTTTCGCGATGTTCAGCTCGGTGACTGGAAACCCACTCAATTGTTACGACAAATGAGACAGTTGGTCACGGACTTCAAAATAGACGATGCCTTCTCAAAACAACTTTGGTTACAAAGATTACCGCAGACGATTCAGGACATTTTAGCCCCAATCTACAAGTCCCCCTTACCGGAACTAGCCGAAGGGGCCGATAGGACTACTCGATCCAACATGCCCATTTCGGCTGCAGCCACCGAGTCCCTCTCAGACCAAAGAATCTCCTGCCGGGGAGTCATCAAGCTTCGATGCTGTGGCTTATATAACCAAGCTTTATGAGTTGTGTAGTATTAGACAGGAGATGAGAGCAAGGGGTCGGGTAGTCGCACCAACTCAACTCGTAATAGGTCCTTATCACGGGCTAGCAGTAGGCGTCGTAAGTCTCGAAACTCCCAGTCTGGAGTGTGCTGGTACCGAGAGGTTTGTGGCTGAATCGATCAACTTGAGCTTATCAGTATATACCAATAGTTGGTAATGCTGTAGCAGATCCATACCGATGATATCTGTGGTCACGTCCGCTACTAAAAAGACTCAGCGGAATGCGCGGCGTGAGCCGATATTCAGGTCAAGAAAGGGCCTGCCAAAGGTAGCTATCGGCGAACCATTTGCAGCACGTAGTTGTAACGACATTGGCCGCCTGCGATCCTCTATTGTGGGTGGGATTACACTGACCTCTGCTTCGGTATCAATGAGGAAGCGTATCCATGTGTTACGGTCTGTCACATAGAAGAAGCGACATGGGAGTGATTCGCCAGCGAATTAGTCGCCAACACGTGCTGGCCTGCTGATTTCCCAGCGGTTGGACATCGAAGGGGCACGGACGAGTGCGTTCTGGGATTTCTCACCACCACAAAATTTCTATGTGGCCGAACCCTGCAACGGGACGATGTGTCCAGAAGGTTGGGAGTTGGAAAGTTGTAGCCATCTGTGAAGCACTGTTGTCGGCCATTATGCGGACAGGGCGATATACTAACGGAGTGATACAACAAATACACGCGAAAAAAAGACGAGTAAAAATTTATAACTACGTGAAAAATAAACAAAATAGTCAATATGAAAGAGAACTATAAACACGTCAAGCTACTATGTAGGCAAACGATGAAAACATGGGCTCACCACTTGTAAGAGTTATTCTGACTTAGGGTAGACCTCAATTATAAACGCTCTTACACAACTTCCTCACCGCTCTATGACCTTAGCTGTACTCTGCTTAACGTGCAAGTACGGACGAACAGAATCAAGGTAGAAAGACTTGAGATGACAAGTGTATATGGAACGGTGGCTCTAAAAAATACTAGCCGAAACCGGAACGACATTCGAACGCAAAAATGACCTTGAGCAAGGAATCAGCTGACTGTATCATCTCCAGATGTAATCATGAATGCTTTACACCTTTTGCGCTGCAAATTCGCCGCACCTGATATGTGCATGTTGGATCAAGTAGCCTCCACTCTCCTGTCGGCCGCTTCGGCTGTTTCCGGTAAGGGGGACTTGTATATCGGGGCTAAAATACCCTGAAACTTCTGCGGTAATGTTTGCAATCAAATTGTTTTTCCCAGTAATAATGCTTAAGATCTTTTCCCTCAATACAGCCAATGCGCAGCAGTTTTATACTAATTTTTCATCCATTTCACCTCATCTACTCGCTAGACCTGTTGGCCTCTAATATCAGCTCGTAACTCACACCAATTAAGGAATTACGAGCAGTATATTATTTTTCGCTGCACAATTTCTTCAAAAAAATTAAAAATTTTCAAAAAATAATAAAAGTAAAAAACCGTAAATAATAATAAATAATAAAATAATAAAAAGATGAACAGGTAAAAAAGATTAATAATTTAACACAAAAAAAGAAGAAGAATGAAAAGAATTCGTTGTTTAGTAATCCAAACTCGAAAATATTCACTGTCCGTTCGGCACAACTCGCATTAATTTCTTGTATTCCCTTTTCCATTTAATCGAACAGTTTCTACATTGTAATTCTTTATTTACTCAATCCAAACTGTCAGAATTCCTGTTCATTACTGCAGCAGTTCGTCACTCTGATCTGGTAAAATTCTTTTTGTACTTTGGGTAAATATCCTCAAGTGATTCTTCTGTCGATGTCTGTCTACTGGTCTAATTTTTTCTGGCTCGCCGTTTCTTTAGACCAAATGTAAATACCTATTCTCTCCCAGCTCCTTTCCTTTAACACTTGCCCTTTAACCCACATTCATTACCATGTTGTAGAACCCTGCATTTATTTTGACTCAGCATGGCATAGCGTTGATGTTTTCTCTGTATATTTTGCGACATATGCATATAATTTTATAAAAAAGATTTTGCCCATTTCTACATCACTTTCTATTTTTCTTTTCTTTCACTTTGTTCCTCTACTACGCTGGTATATTTACTACCTTGTGTGTTGATTGATGCTCGCTCATGTAGTGGAGAAGTGGAGCATCAGTTTAAGACGCAACTTATATCTAATGAGTCACACTCCTATCTCAGCCGGAGCACAGGGGTGACATCATCAACCCCAGTACTTATACAGAGTTGAAAAACTGCAATAAAACATTATTGAAAAAAACTATAAAAAAATAAGTAATAAAAATTAAAAAAACGATTAAAAAATAGTAATAAATTAATAACTTGAAACTCTGTCAAACCATACTCAGATAACCAGCGTCATTTCCTCTTATGTTCCGTCTTACTCCACTATTCATGTACATACTGCCTTCAAATTGCCTTAACTTTTTTCTTTTTCTTTCGTTCCTTTCGCAAAATTTCTTATTTTACTATTACTATCTTCAGACCTTCTTGTTCACTCCCTGTTATTGTACAAAGCCGTGCTACTTTTGTATATCCCATCCCTTAGAAGGTTGGTGGGATGGCCTGTAGTGCACATTGAACTCTTGAACTTTTGTATATACTCGCTCGCTCATGGTTTGGTACACCTTGATCTTTTGAGTTGTGAATCTTCTGCACGTTAGCTGGTTCGCTCTCTCGTTGTGCATTCATTCAGCACACTCTCCGAGCCTACCACCACCAGTGACGTCAGCAGATAAGTTGTATTATAACCTCTTTATTTATCAAATCCCAAATCTCATTTGTGTAAAATATAACTGTTCCAGATGCACTTGTCATCTCAAGTCTTTCTACCTTGATTCTGTTCGTCCGTACTTGCACGTTAAGCAGAGTACAGCTAAGGTCATAGAGCGGTGAAGAAGTTGTGTAAGAGGGCTGAAATTATCCGTCACTTATCAAGGTCATTGGTGGAGTGAGACGCTCGAAGGTCATTTTCGTCCATATCAGTCGGCCATGTTGGATTGCAGTTCCGTCTACACGTTTGTTGTTCCGTTTATCCTGCCGTCATACACGACTTATCTTGTTGCGTAGTGTTCACAAATGTTGCGTTTCACCTCAATTTTTGTTTCCGTTGCTGTTAAAATGAATTATTTCTTTGGTTTTGAAAGTTTCCACTACCAGGTCAGTTCATTCATTTCGGTGTAATTGTTTCATACCTTGTATTTATACGGCTTTCAGTGTTTTATTTGGTTTTCAGCTGTTAATGAATTGGCAATGTGTAGAATTTTTGGAAATCATGCACATGAAAATGTTTGGCTGACAGAAGCAGTTGTTTTCAGTCCATTTATTGATTGCCGTTATTCTTGTTGCCTCATTTCATTACCTAAGATGTAGAAATCGTGAAAAAGTGTCTTTCTCGTTCATGTTTACAGCATGCAACAATCTGCGAGTGAATCTGTTACAGGGAACACCATCAGAGTTGACGTTAGCAAAGTTTTCGAGGAACAAATGAAACCTGGAAAATTTAGAACCTGGTCTGAATTTGAAACAGCTTTGAAGCTTTTTCAGAAGGTGAGCATAGTATTAGTGTGTCTATTGTCAGTTAACAAACACCAGATATATTGTCCGAGAATCTAAATTAAAAAAGGATAAGCCACATGTGAAGTATTCATATGTGGTGTTAGTATGTACTTTTGGACACAAAAGGAAATCTGAAAGCAATCACCTTCGCCTTAAAGGGTAAGTTATCTGTGGTTATTAATTTCTTATGGAGTAGATCTAAATACATTGGTTGCCCGTCAATGATACGCATCCGATATCATTGCAACAAATTGATCATATCATCTGTGCATATGATTCATAATCACTGTTGCACGAATGAATATTTAATGAAGGATGCAAGAGCACGCAAATTAGATGAGTCTGAACTCTCTATAGTTAAACCAATGATGTCTATTTCATCCTAACCTGAAAAAATTATTGATTACGTGGCAGAACGATTTAAAAAAAGGATGACGTACAATGATCTACTAAATATAAGAGCTGCTGTAGTTGAAGGTAAGACTGATTGACAGCAATAACCTTTCAGATTGTGATTTACAGTCAGTTGTGTTTTCCAAATTACGTCAAGTTGGGAAGTTAGTTGTAATTCGGGATGAAAACAATGGAAGAATGAAATTAGCTTGTTTTAGTTCCAGTAGACAAATTGAAATTTACCACAAATTCCCTGAGGTCGTGGGTTTCGATTCCACCTACAACACTAATAGAGGAAAGTAGGTGTAAATGTTTTCTAGAACCAATATTTGAAGTTATAAACTGTTTCAGTTTGTTGTTACAGACTGCCATGGAGAAGGTCTACCTGTTATGTTTGCATGGAGTAGACAGGAAAGGCTGGATGATGTGACGAAGATCCTGCAAACTTTTAAATCAATCATGGGTACAACTTCTTATACGGAAACTTTTGTCATGGACTGTGCAAAGGCCTTGAGGGGTGCCGTTGAGACAACGCACCCACTTTGCAATATAATATTATGTGCATTCCATGTTTCACGTGCTATGCGTAAGAAGGTAAGTAATGTGAATTTCGAAGATTTTCTAGACAAAAATTAAACTTGTTAGGCAGTATGTATCGCGTATGATTCGCGAGGAATCAATTCATGGGTAAATTTTAGAACTGATCGTAAATTTATTTACAGATTCTACACATACCTCGGTCTCATACGGCATCTGGATCCCCGTTTTGCGACGTATATACACAGACGCTGGCTGCCTTTGAAGAAACTATGGGCAGCATCATTCAACCGTAATATTTTGTCACTTGGCAATAACACAAACAATCGCGTTGAAAGTTTGCACAGACTGATGAAAAGGAATTTGTCAAGAGCTGTTACTCTACACAAGTGTATGTGGGAGGTATACCGGTGGAGTGACAGGAAACTGAGGAGAATTGATGGCGAGCGAGATGTGAAGATTAGAGTGGTGGACAACAGGATACGTGGTTTGCAGGCCTTACTGTCAAAATTAACAGAGTATGCTGGAAGAAAGGTTGTTGCAGATTTTAAAACAGTAAGAAGGGCCCGCATTGACAACCGTATTTCTCAAAACGTATTTTTCGTCGACGGATTCACACATCCAGTAGTTGATATGGCAAGAGGCACTTGTACTTGCCGGGTGTTCACCACCTGTAGGTATCCATGTCGTCATATGGTAATTGCTCATCTCACTTATCCACATTTTGAAAGTAAGTCTGACGTACAATTACCTGACATTACAGTTGATCGTGTTCTGAAGAATTGTCGACGGTGGATGTTTGTCAGCAGAAATCCACAACCCGTACTAACTGCTGCACCGGGGGTGACACAAAACAGTTACGTTGAAAAATACCAAAAGATAAAGCATAAGTTTTGTAAATATCTTGACAGGCGCGTAAATGCAGGTTATGTAGAAAAAGCATTTGCCTTTTTATTGTCTTCGTATACCCGGTTAAGGGAAGGAAAGGAGGATGTGTGAAACCTTACTGAGAACGTGGAATGGCCCTCTTTAGGGCCAACAAAACATTGATTTCATTGACTTCATTAGTTTCACTTTTAAGTACGCAGTCGAATAAGCAGGGTAGGAAGAAATTAATCCGCAATATGAGTAATGCTTGTGAAGATGTTTTGCGACTGATTAAGAATAGTGATTCTTTTGTGGAGATAGTATGTACATATTTTTAGGAAGGAAATCATATGAATTCTCTCTAACACTTTATAAATCAAAGATAGTGTTACGTAGCTCACTAAGGTTGCAGGTGTAGGTGATTGTCTTAGGCGGAAATTAAATTGACGTAGCGACGTCGCTGTGGTCAACGCGTCATAGAATTAAGCATCGTAGGTTAATTGTGTCTAAATGTATCAAACGTTGTATAACTGATCAAACCACAGTTATTACGTGCGAGTTAGTTTTATAAATAATGAATGTACCGTACAAGCGTCTACCATGATTTGCATACCTAGCTCATAAACATTATGCATGCATGTGGCATACATTTAGGGCCAACACGCTGCGATGAATCAGTCCGAGATACTTAAAGTCAGACTTCATTTCCATATCACTATTATCAATTTTGCAACGGTCATAGGAATTAACACCTTCAACTAACTTTCGTTTACATCGGAAACTGAAAATAACAGTCTGACATTTCGAAGGATTTAGTTTAAGAGCATTTTCTCACTCCTAATAGAGAGCTGTTCATCTTAGTACAGTGTAGCTGGCAGTTAACAGACATTGAAGTAGTTAGATCGTCCGCGTGTTTGAAAAAGTTCTCGTATGCATTCGTACAATAAGTTCATCAAACAAAAATACAATTGGTAATGGACGACTTCCCCCTGACCTACAGTGTACTGCTTTCTCCCTGATAAATAAAAATGAAGCCATCTAACAATCCAATACTCAGTTTGAGTTTCAGCAAGCTTATCTAACAGAATATCTCTAGGTACTGAGTCGAAAGCAGATGTGTATTCTAGGAAGGTGCAGCGAATTTAGCCCCATTGTCTATACTGGAGAAAATGTTGTGAAGCAAGACTGCAGCTGCATCTAAAGTACGTCTACTGTGTTTATAGGAGAACTGTTTGGGATCGTTAAAGGCTCTGAGTGAGGGTTAAAGATTAAGTAAGAGTAACTTTCCCTTAGTTCGTATATACCTCATTTGATTTGAAACAAAGGAAGCAGGTCTTATGAACGCTTGTAACACTAGAAAGTTTGGCATTTATGGGAGAATTTATGAAAGACTTGTTTAGTTTACACACACCAAATGAATAGGAAATACTGGAGGTAATTACATGCATACAGGCGTAGGTTATTTAACATCTATAAAGTAGACATGCAAATACCGCAGTTTTTGATCACAGAAATGATGGATACTAGATAACATCCTATGATTCAACGGCATATTAAAATAAATAAAAAATGTTTCTTAGCTGATCGTCAAGTGAACAGTCTATTTGATGATGTCACTGCATATTAACGGATTAGTGAAGTAGATATCAAGCCTAAGTTACTACATTTACTTGTACTACATACTTGGCGTTTAACAGTAAACAGACTTTCAACTGGTTAGATAAGGCGACTTTAGAGTATCCAACAGTACAGAATTATTATTCAACTTGCTAAATCCCACTTAGCTTTTACAATGTGCTATTGTGTAGAAACAGACACGAAATCCTACTAATGACTAAAGTAACATTCTCATAATACTACAGTGAATTTCCATCCCACTAACTAAGCTTAGCGTTTATTATTCCTAATTCACTTATTACAAAAGCACATTGTATAGCGAGGAATTGAAGAAGTCTACAGGAAGAAGTAATCAAGAGTATATTAAACATTTGATTAATTTACAAAAGAAAATTCTGATGAAGGGTAATAAAGTTAGTTTGACCGAATGATGTTTCCGCTGATTTCATATTCGACAACCTCCGTATACCTGGAAAAAATAAAGTACATGTTAGAACTAGCATAACATGAAGTTAACAAGAGATAATTCTACATATTAGCATACAATATGAATACAATCATTCTGTTAAAACTAAGTATTATCTCAGGGAGATAAATGTATTTGTAGTCTACAGCTGATATTTATGTTGACGCCGTATACATAAATATACATCATATGTTTTCCTGCATTTGAGGACTATATGCAAATTTCAAGGCAATCTCCGAAACATTCATACTATTGAGGCGTCATTCTCTCATCAAGCTTACTTGCAGATCAACTTCACACTAAACACTTTTACATGAAATGAAGTATTGCAAGTGTATAACTTAGAAGTTAATCCACAATCTCAGTAATGTCTAGTCCACAAGGTTTTGTGAATCCTACAGAAATCACATTTTCACATTTAGGAGACTATAGGCATCAAATATAAGCTGAACATGCCTCAACTCTAGACAGCTATGCACAGTGCTAACAACATAGTGAAACACTTCAACTATTGTAAAGTACACAGACCTGTTGTGTTGATGAGGATAATAATGTCATATAATGCAAACTAGAAAATTCAATCGTCATAGAGCATCTGTACTGCTTTGTCTAAATGGAAATCTCAGGAGAAATTCATCTCCACTATTGGTGATCAAAAATATTGTAGCATTAAGTATACAGTCAGTGGAAATTGTAAAAGAGAATAAATTCATATTAATGATAATAAAGCTGAATAGATTCAGTTCTAGTAACCACCTTCGTTTGTTATCCTATCAGTCAGCTTAGTACACAATGGCACAATATTATTATAGTTGAGATATTTTTGTACATTTAATTAACATAACCCATAGCACACTGCACCAACCAGTGCCAATATATATGAAATCCATTTAGAGATAACCTTTCAACTTACCATAATTCCTGTCCAACCACAGATAGAGTGAAAAGCACATCTAAATGACAACTTAGGTTCCCACCAACGATTCTGATAACATTTGCAGGTGATTTCCAAGTATTGAGAGAATTATTTTGTCAAAAAAGACTGTTCTTCACACGAAAATAGGCTGTACTGATATCCTGAGACATGAAGTCTTCATTGAATGATACTATGCCGAAAGATGCAGCTTCTACATGGAGTAAATGAGTGGTGTAAATGGCATTACCCTCTAACTATCCTATCTCCCTCATTACACCGACATTTTGATACATTCCATCTGAAACACTAATCATTGCAACCAATATGCTAAAAGTGGGCAGCCTGTCGACGGACGTAATTTTGAGTGACCGCGAATGAGATAAACAAGCGATTCGCTCGCTTGTGATTGGCCAGTTTGTCATTCGAGTTGAGGTAATTTCAAACATCATTTTGCTGCTTGGTTAAGTTCTGAATTTCCGTGGGCGTTTTATCAAATTGGAGAGATAACTGACAACACAAATGATTACAGCTCAGGAAAGAAATGATATAGCAGTGGATTTATTTGCTGAATTCAACGAATTCATGCCAAATTACTATCTAAGGACCTCTCAGGTGTATCAAGAATGCAAACAATGTCCTGAAGAGGTAATAACTTCACGCAACTTCAATTATCGCTTGACCATTATTTTCAGATATCCTTAAATAAGTATAATATAGACAGTGGTCTGGCTAATCATGACAAAAATGGCATGGTTGATGCGGCAAATACGTATACTCATGTATATGTAGGTAAACCTGGATAAACTGTGTTCTTGTCACGAAGATCGGAAAGCAGGTACCAGATGTCTCAGTAAGCAGTGTAATACATGTAAGTTACATGTTTTTATTTGACATAAGCTGGATCTTCACTCACTTTCAGAATTAATCTTGAATTCAGTTGGAATAAGCTGGTTGAGCACATCAGTATTGAGAGAATACAGTGAAAGTAAGTAAACACATGCTTCTTAAGATTAAGTGATACATTTTTTTGATATGATTGTATTATTGTTAGTTGTCTATCTAAGTTAATGATGAGTTCGTTGCGATAATAATACCTATTATTGTTTTTATAGTCACTATGAACATAAATGTTATTATTATTGCTGTCAAGACCTACTATTTGTCATAAAGTTGTTGTCATTTTTGCTAAAATATTTTTACAAGCTTTGGAAACTACTGCATAACTTGTCGTTAAATAGTTTTATCACTTCATGATGCTTCGATGGACCTACTAGATATCGACAAACGATAAGTTGCGAAGTCCCTTAAGTTTAGTGAAAACTATTGGGCTACTTATACATATATTGCTTGTAAAGTGATTACTTGTAAATGCTTATCAGGGAAATTTTTTATTCAGATCATACATGTAATACCCAAGTTAATTATGCTTTTCTTAAACCTTTTCAGACTTATGGAAAAACATATATGTGCCGTGTACGCAGATGGAACTTACTGACGGTAACAGAGGACTACTCATCTGAATTATCTGTACATTTGAAATCTGATTTTTGTTTAATAAACAATTTTCAATGAATCTGTCTTCCTTCTGTTGTAATGCGATTGTGTTCCAGTAACATAAGTAGCACGTGCTAAGTTAGAAGTTGGGGGTAAACTGTTAGGAGTAAATACGGCGTCTGGAAAACTTTTGTTTACGTGATTATATGAGCAGATAGCAACGTATCGTGTTCTTTGGCTGAGGACCCTAGGCATTCTGTTTTTAATTATTACGATAACCGTAGTTGCACTGAGTCATACATCAAACAGCATAGGTATAGTCTCTCCTTATGGTATGCTGCGGCATGCAGGAATCACAAGCAAACTATCTCAGGTAGATTTACTCTTACTTTGTGACTATGAATCGCGAATCAGTATATGTATTCTGCTAAGACGACAGATAACTCGAAACGCTTTATAATCGCAATACCTCCTCTACGACTTAGACATATTTACTTTATTTGACTACAACATAATGTTTTACTAATAGGCTTCTCCGAATATCTGCTCCTACTCAGTATTTCAAA